ATGCATGAAAATCCTAACCTCAAAAAAATCACCCGTTATATATTTTTTTGTGCATTTTAGTGTTTTAAACCAGAACAATTAATTTGACTTAATTTTTATACACTTAATTTAGGTATTTTTTTCTTTTTTTAACTTAATTTTATCATTGTTACATACAAAAATGATTTTTCTTTCCTAGTTTAATTTTCTTTTTAGATTTCTTAATCATATTTTCACATTTTTTTTTTTTAATTTCAGTTAATTCTTAGGAACATAATTTATTTACTTCTCTTTTTTATTTTTTTATTTTAATTTTGTTTATATGTTTTATATAAGTATTTTAAATGCATTTAACTTTTACGAATTTTTTTATTTCTAATTAAATTTTCATTTAATTTTAAGATTAAATTTTTTTAAGGAAAAAATTTTTTAAATAATTTAATTTATAGAAACTTATTTTATATAGTTTTTCCTTTTTATTGATTTTTTTCCTTTTAATGTTTAGTTAATGTTTTAAAAAGAAGATATATTTTTTTAATTTAATTTAATTTTTACAAAACTTATTGCTAGAGGACAAACAGAACAGCGGAGATGTGAACTGGTTTTGAACCATTAAGCGAACTGAAATTTTCCACAAATGCTTGATCCGAACCATATCTTATAAAGGTTTAATGGCCGCAGTCGTTGAGTGGTTAACGTACTACTACTCCGTATGGCCTGGATTCGACCCCTGGCCCAAGCAACATCTAAATTAGACCATGCAAACCCGCGTTTACAATTACAGCAATTGGAGCATGTATTCTTTGCACTGTATCGACTTTATTACCTTCTCGCAGTTTTCGCTGGTAATTATATAGCCATAAAGAACAAGGTGCTAAATATTCGGTATAACAGTGGAGAAAAAAATGCTGGAGCCAAATTTGCCTTAGTATCGGTTCCGATACGAGTATTTGTTTTTTGTACCTACTCAGTACTTGGTTAAAAATTATCGATTCCAAAATAACTTGATATCGAACGAAAAGTATCGAGTATTTACTTGAATTTACTCGTATCGTTTCATCCCTAACCACAGCCAAATTTGAAAATTTTCCATTTTTTTCATGATGGCCAAGTCCTCTTGAATCGTTAGGAATGAAAAGAGTGATTTGATTTATTTGGACTGAGGAAGTTGTGGAACCGTCGCCATCTTGAAAGCAGGTATGGGCAACGCTTTTTCTTACTCAGCAGAATGACCATTTTGGTACCTCAACCTAGAAATACCCAAACGCTAGTATTCATATGTGGTAGTTGAATTCTATAGAGATTTTTTAAATGTGTGGCAATTATTTTCTCGAATATTTTTTCGCCGAATTAAATTATTATTTTTTGGTTGAAATTTTTTTTGTAGAATTTGTTCCAAAATATGTATATTTATTTTTATGGGTGTGCTAGACAGTGCTTTGGGCGGGATTTTCCCTAAATCAAACACTAGCGCACAGTGGTTCAATTCACTGGAGCCCTAATTTTTCAACCGATTTGATTAATTTTTTTAATGAAAGCTCATAAAGTTAGCTTAGTTAGTTGAGGCCGACTTTTGCATTTTTATTTGATTGTATTCAATTTTTTAGTGCAAAGTGCAGAAAAAGTAGTCGAAGAAAATCGATTTTCCTGTTCTAGTTAATAAATGTTACATAATAATAACTAGTTGAAAACAATTGTAGGGTTGCCCCAAAATAAAAAAAATCACAAAAAAAAAATGTCAAATGTTATAAAAAAAATTTTCACCAATATTAAAAAATAAATTGAGTTTTTGGATAATTTTTTTAGACGAGATCGAGCACATCTGCATGTTAAATGGAAAATAAAAGCGTTCTCTTTATCTCGCGTGTTTTATATATTTATTATAAATATTATTAAAAATCAACGCGAACTCTTAGCCACTTGCAACTGGCACTTTATTATATGTACTATGTAAATGCTTCTCTTTTGCATGTACCATATACTATAACATATCAGAAAAATAGCATTTGCATATGGAAACACATATCGTGTAAGAACGCTTTTAACTGTGAAAAAAAATTAACTTAGCGCCTTTTAGACCCATTTAAAAGGCATATTCGGACGCAGGTCAAAATGCTGATACTTCTGAAAAAAACTGTGGGCCATCTACCAATTGCATTAGAAGTTTTAGAAACGAGTACATGAAAACCCTCACCCGTGATGTCTTCCGTTCTTTACTGTTCTGGGATCAAGGTGAGCTAATTTTCCCAGCCCTATTATTCGGAAACTTTCGAGTTCAATTTATTTTAGCATCTCTCTAACCCGAGCATTTTTCCCAAATTACCTAACTGTTGTTTGCTCTTACAAAGAACACCTTCAGATATTCGTAGTTGCAACTCTCTCGAAGCTACTTTCTTAAACAAAAATATGGAGCAGACACCATCCAAGATTCGACACCAGAGCCGGCATTGATGATATTCTCATTGATCCTGTATCCGAGGACGAAATTAGCCATTGGGGTTGAAATCATATATTTTTATAATATTTTTGGGTACTAACTAAACTACGGAGGTGTTACCAATAGTCGAACTGACAGCAATAAATTCTTGAGGGCCCTGATGGCTCATATGGCTTTACTAAAAGCCTTATCTAAGTGGGGCTGTCAGCTCAGATTCCTGGCCTCGTAGGCATGTTAAAGTACTGTCCCTTCCCCCACTATTCTTGGAATTCGACCCTTGATGCTTCTCGAACTGTTTCAGGATGTACAGCTGTTGCTTCACTTCTTAGTAGCTCTTTTAAAAGGACTCCTAGATTGCAAGAGTTGGTTTGCCTATCATTGGCATGAGTTATTCTTTATATACAATAGCCTTATATTGTGTACGTAAGAAAACTTATCCTTCAGCCATTTACTCCAAATCTATCAATTTTCTAGAATTGCTAAAATTTCAAAGTTTCCTCTCATTTTTTATCATCTGAGGAATTTTAAATTGACAGCACCTCTTTACCAAAACTATTTATGTATAAATATGCATTTGCAAACAAACCAAAATCAACATTTAATCTCTCAAAATTCACATTAATCTCATGAGTCAACAAGTTGGTTTACATTCCCAATGCTAATCCCAAATAAGCACACAAAAGTGCTTTTAAAATTTCATTCATACATGCAGACATACATAAATAGCTGTGTGAGCTGATAACACAGGCTCCAATGTCCCAGTTGTCAACGGTCAGTACATGGACAAGAACATCAACAAGCCAAAAGAAACTAGCAACAAGACTAAAAGTGCATATAAAATACTACATGCATTTTGCATATTTTCTCACATGATATTCGCACAGCCGCAAACATACTCCGAATGCACACTAGGGTAGTTCAACAAATAGTTAAGTCAGAATTGTAACGCTCTCACCCCGTAGGATTGTTCTATATCGAAAAGGGTATACCGTTATTTTTTTTTTTTTTATCAAACAATATTTAGAGGTCGATCAAGCGCTCAAAGTTTACAATATATTTTTATATGGGAAAAATACATTTTTTCGTAGAAATGGTATAAAATTCTGGAAAATCAATACTTTTTGATTGGAAAACTCTGGTTCTCTTCAGGATTCTTTCAATAATAATACCAAATTGTTTACTTAACAATTTTTTAATAATAACGATTTTTTATTGGTCGCCCCATTACATTTTTCAGGGTTTTTGTGGGGTTTTGGTGGACCTATAAATTATAGTTGCGTTGACAAAATGGTTAAATAAACAATTGAGTATTATTATTGAGAATCTCCTGCAGATAAACAGAATTTTCTGTTTCTGAAAAGTTGTTTTTCCCCCATATAAAATACATGCAAAATTTTGTTCGCTTGAGCGACCTCTAAATATTTTTTGATTTCAAAATAAAAAAAAAGGTAGGTATACTTTTTTTCGGTACAGAACAAGCCTAGGGGGTGAGAGCATAAAAATTCCGACTTTACTTTTTCACATGCATTTTTGGACCACCCTAATGCACATACACGAGCTAGAACACAAGCAAGGCGAACACTCAATATGCACAGTTGTTGAATGTGGCCAGTGTCATCGGAATGTCTCCCACTGCTTTTCCGTTGACAAGTTCCAAGCAATGAACTAACTATGCTGCTTGCTGCTACCCACACGAGCGTTCTACTTACATGCTGCATACATAGCCTACTTGTAAGCAAATTCTCCGCAGCCAATCTTTGTGTGGGTATGTGTGCATTTTTGATGCCTGCTAATCACTTTTTGCGCCCATCGGCAGTGCCATTAACTGCGACCTACAAAACTAACTAAAGCTCCATCAGCGTCAAACTACAGTCCACTCCACCACCAATCGACCACACGGACCAGACAGCCGTCGATGGTACATCGAACATTTTCACATCATAAATACTGGAAAATTCACATTTTCCTTCCTTTTTCCTAAATATCTGCTAGTCACTGCAGCTAAATCCTTTTGTATTCTATTCGTTCATATATCAACTTGAAGCAGCCATTCGACAACAAAAATATCTATACCTACAATATTCGTCGTGTTGTTTATTCCCATCATAGTCTGCTTGGTCAACGATCTGCCAGCTCGTCTCACCAGGCATTCGACCATCAACAATTCATAGCCAATCTGCCGCCGCAGTTACCAATCTGGCGAGACCAAACGTTTTTGCCATTCATGCCTAGCCTACTACTTCCTAACTCGCAACTACTGGCAAGCACTTGAACCCGGCTAAACTTCGCTATGGACCTCCACACACACACACACACATACACAGACTCTCCTGCAATTGCTTTCCCATCTCTTACCACACTGGCGTGCCCATTCATCTAACTATTGGCATCCATTGGCCGTGCTATCAGAGAATGTATTCATAGTCATGCATGCGCATAGAGAGATTCCACTTACTTTTGCATTCATTGGCGTCGGTGTCCGTTGCACGTCCCCATGGACGATCGAAGTAAAACGGCTTACAGCGTTCACATTCCGGTCCGGCTGTGTTGTGCTTGCAAGCGCACGTCATTGTCAACTTGACATTCACATTCGCATTGTTCTTATTGTTATTGCTATTGCTGTAGCTATGTACGAGCACTGTGGAAACAGCGCCATCGAAATCATCGCCAGCATTGTATACATGTGGAAGGGCATCATTCGGACTCACTGTTGCCACACATTCAGATGCATGCCCGTTGCACTTGCAGCGCCCACCGACCGCAAAATCAGAGACAGCATAGTGCTGCGATACGGCCAATAGCTCCTTAGCGCTGGGCTTGAATGTTGCTTTGCCATCACTGCCGACGTCGACTTGTTTGTCCACTGTTGTGGTGGCCGCTTTTGTGGTGCTGGCAACCGCAGCTGCTGCCGCTGCAGCAAGCGCGGATTTAGCTTGGTAATGCTTCTCGTAAGCCGACAATTTAGTCTTGGTATTATGGCGTTTGACCTCTGGCACGATGCTGATGCCGCTGCTGCTGCTGCTGCCATCGTTCGGATAGTCAAGATCTAAATCATCATCATCGTCCAGCTCCAAATGCTTTTTGGGCTCGGCCGCATATTCTTCATCTTCATAAGTGCTATCATTGCCTTGTACATTGTAGTCGTACTCATCATCCTCCTCCTCATCGTCTTCATCTTCCTGGCTGCTGCCCATCTCATCGCTAAAGCTATTCGCATCTGGTTTAGCCGCATCCTTTGCCTGTGCCGCAGCCAATTCACGTGGCAGTTCGAGTCGATGGAAAATAACACGTATATCTGTGGCGGTAACCCAATCTTGCAACACTAGTGATGCGTCCAAGTCATTGGCCGAGGGACGACCTTCAAGTGTATTGAAGCGAACCGGTTGGTTGTACCATCGCGATGTGAATCTATACAACGCGCTTCTTGCTCATTGAATTTGCTGATTTTGGCGCGATCTGGACGTCCGTAGAATTTCAAGCACTGTGAACTGTAAAATTGAAAAGGTTGCCAAGTTTGTCCGAAATCGGAGCTCTTATAAATGGCCAACGAGTCGGGACGTGGGACTTTGGACAGAACGACAAACTCACATAGGTCAATTCATATTTCTTACCCAACGGATAGGGTGAGCGTGACATTGTCTGGCGGCGCAGTGTCTAAATCAGCCGGCACAGGCACGCTAGCCGAACGCCAACACGTCACATTATTGGGATTATTCAAATCAGTTAGCGCGCTAGCGGGAAAACGCGATTCGGGCTTGGTATTGTCGCACATGTCACACTCGCTCAGCGAACCATCGCGATTATTTCGCAGAAGCGCTCGGGCTTGTTCGCGCCACAAACGCTGGACGCCTGAACGGGATTCCCGTAGGCCGCATTCACAAAACTGGGCAGACATTTGCGTGGCTTGCCTTCGAAGTAGCAGGGATCGCTGTTGGAATGCGCAGAGCTGGAGGAGGAGGAGGAGGAGGCAGCCACAGCTGGGTGCAGCGCATAGCCGAGCATACAAATGCAGATGCAGACAATGACTGGTAGCGTTTGCACGATGTGCATGCCTCTGTAGGCGGCTTGACGGCGGTGTGCGGTGTTGTTGTCGCCAACATGGTTTCACTGGTGCGCATTATTCTATTATGCTGATTATTTTTTTGTATTTTTTTATTTTGTGGCTGGTCGGTGTATACCTAGATGCGTTGCATGCAACACAACAAGGCGAATTTTCACGTATTCAAGTCACACGCGCCCGATTAACACTTGCAACACTTCCTATTAGCAATATTCTTCACTGCCGTTGGGGGCTTTGGTTGTTTTTATTTTCAGTTAGCGGTTGGCCAGCACGCAACACTGCTAGGCAAGTTGGCGAGTAGGCAAGTGTAGTATGCACTTTGCATTTGTGACAACGGCAACAAAAACGAAACGACCAAGACAGTGGCCTGAGCACGTGCTGCATGCAACCACGGCCTCGTACATACGACCCTCCGGCTAATTTGTATTCCAGTGGAATTTTTAGTTTTAATTAAACGACAACACGAATGCACGCTAATTGCCCAATGGGGTATAGAGCGACGAACGACGTCTGCAGCTAGCGCGAACAGAAAAACAAATCCGACATAGACACAACACAAGCAACACTGGAATGCACTGCGACCAAACCAATGAACGGATCGAAAAGTGGAGTAGCAATTTAATGCGCGCGCGGCACAAGAAAAATGAAAAATGTGCTTTCTGCTATACCGGCCGGAATTGCATTCACACCTCCGCGCTTGCGGCCAACCAATTTTGTAGTATAATGCAACACGGTTATGAGAACACACACGTTACCCAATTTGCATAGACGCGTCTACCGCCCGAACAAGCATAAATCCTGGCCCCGCGTACCACAGGCCAGCCCCTTTTGAGAGGATACGCTGCTATGAACGCTGCTTCTTGCAATGAAATATCGCGCTTGTGATTGACTTGACACACGTTGCTTATCAGCTGCGGCCCACGCGCGTCGCGAAGATTAACTTTTCGATACACGCCACGACACTTTGCAGAGAATACTCTTCCTTTGTACACTTAATGAGTTTGGAAATTGTCCGGCACTCACTCAACCCAACCGCGTCATTCAAAACAACACAGCCATATGTGATACTCACTTGCATGCACTGCGCCTTTGGCACAATGGCGTCACACTGTCTAGCGTTTCCCTAGTCTGCGGTCTTGCGCGACCACACAGACGGCAGTGAGGCGTTGACGACTCTGAATACCAAACAAGCGGCACAAGTGCGCAACAGCTGTCCGTAATGTGTACGCGAGCAGTGTGTGTTTTTGTGTGCTGCTGACAAAAACTGACAGGTCAGTCAGCCTAAGCACACATACAATTACGTACAACAAATCAAAAATGTGATTAGCCAATATTTTTCGCACAACACGCTTTTGACATCGACTTGACAAAAGTGTTTCCCCAGACTGGGGTCGGAGCTGCCGTGCTGTTAGTGGTCCAACACGGTCAGCTGCTGACGTTCTTCTGACAACGTAAACGTGCAAACATTTGCTAATTATGTGCACGCATGGACCAGTTTGCTTGCGTTGCAGTCAGCTAGGCATCCAACTATTTCTCGGTATGTATGGTACTTGCAATCGGCACCCGAATCACTGCCCGGCACTATACATATCAACTATCACGCGAAGTGTATTCAATACATTTCAAAATTCACCACACTTCCTTGTGCAAAGCAAAATATGTAACACACTCACAAAACGGCGGTGGGTGGGTGGTTGGTTGGTTGGTTGGCGCTTTGATTATTCTGTATCCTCTTCAATTCACTTTATTCACAACACTTCACTTCCGATTCCGGTATTCGCTTCAACGCGTCGTTTTACCACTCGTTGCATGCGTATGTTGGTTCGTCTCGTTTCGTTTTCGCTTCCTACCTTAGAACACTTCGTTTTACCGGCAACGTAAAATCACATTCACAATTTTACACTCTCAAACGACGGACCGTAAAACTTCCCTATCGTTCTGTACGTGACGAGAGCTGATTTTGTACTGAGGCACGCGTCTGTTTTGTTTGCTTTCCAACANCAACTATTTCTCGGTATGTATGGTACTTGCAATCGGCACCCGAATCACTGTCCGGCACTATACATATCAACTATCACGCGAAGTGTATTCAATATATTTCAAAATTCACCACACTTCCTTGTGCAAAGCAAAATATGTAACACACTCACAAAACGGCGGTGGGTGGGTGGTTGGTTGGTTGGCGCTTTGATTATTCTGTATACTCTTCAATTCACTTTATTCACAACACTTCACTTCCGATTCCGGTATTCGCTTCAACGCGTCGTTTCACCACTCGTTGCATGCGTATGTTGGTTCGTCTCGCTTCGTTTTCGCTTCCTACCTTACAACACTTCGTTTTACCGGCAACGTAAAATCACATTCACAATTTTACACTCTCAAACGACGGACCGTAAAACTTCCCTTTCGTTCTGTACGTGACGAGAGCTGATTTTGTACTGAGGCACGCGTCTGTTTTGTTTGCTTTCCAACAGTTAGACCATTCGTTCACTTGNAGTTAAACCATTCGTTCACTTTGCGCTCGCACGCTCACCCAAAAAAAAAAAGAAACCACCAAACAACGAGCGCACCATGATTGAAGGTGGGAAGTGTGGNGGCGCTCGCACGCTCACCCAAAAAAAAAAGAAACCACCAAACAACGAGCGCACCATGATTGAAGGTGGGAAGTGTGATGCTTTGTATTGCTGATTGCGGTGGTTGCTACTCTCAGTTGACTTTATAAATTTGGCTAATTTATTTTTGTGTGCCTACTGTTGGCGCAGAGTGTACATTCCATGGTGCCGGTCGTGTGCTCACACTCAACGGCGGATTCTCAGCAACATCAGCATCAACATTAACAAGTCACCTACCGGCCGGTTTTCATTCATTTGGAATGCTTCATGCGATAAACAGCAAGTGAGGTAGTTGAAAATTGGTTGAGAAGATGTGGCCAGCAGCATCAGGTGTTGTTTCGCCAGGCTAATTAAATGTTTATCAACATTTGGATTGCAGCATTCGGTTCGCAACATTGTTTCTAATTGGAGTTAAAAATACAAATCCCATATCAAATGTCTAAAATTAATAATAAAAACTACATACTTAACTAATAATCTTGAGACCTTCACAATTTCTAGTCACACCCAAAAATGGGCGCAATGGGGCATAGGGGACTTTTGGGTATGCAGTTACAGTGCTGGCATGGTGTCAAAGCCTGGACCAGAAACCTACACCATCTGCGTATGCCAAAGGAGATCACACCCAAACTCCACCTCAGTCAGGTGCAACTACCGCAACGGGTGAAGTCACCTCGGAAAGTGCTCAGATTCTTGAACAATTAAATAGGACCTTCTTGTGCTGCACAGCCGCATTCTTCTCGTCGCCATCCACTACCGCCAAAAGGCATCACCCCCAAAAGCAGCACACACAACAAATGGCCGGCAGGCAATACCACAACTCTCTTGCACCCCACATCGCAATAAGTCTCCCTAGGCACACGAAGAGTTTACAATTTTACTGCAACGGACTTCAGGTCAAGGTTGAGGAGATACTCGTCTTCATGGGTCGGCATGGAAATATGATAGCTACGGTCCAAGAGACGAATCTGCACAGCAACTCAACATTTTTCAGCTGCGCCGGATACAAGGTGCACCGTCGATATTGCGATCGAGTTAATGGTGGTGGCATAGCGTTCATCACGCACCACACCGCGCAGTATCGTCTTAACTAAGCACGCATCGACCGAGGAGAAAACATTTTAGAATATCGGGGTATTGCTAACCGGTCAGGCGATGTCGAGCTCGAAATATTTAACGTTTATATACTCGCTGTCACCAGCTGCCCTGTAGGGTATCACTTTATATAGGTGCGCTCTCAGTAAAAATTGTATGGTAGTTGGTGACTTCAACGCGCAACACGCTCTTCGGCATTCAAGCCTGTCGAATGATGGTAGGGGAATGAGCAGATAGACGATTCGACATTCTGCTTAACTAACGCAGCTGGCAGCTGCATAGCATAATTTGGCGACCTATGCTGACGTTAGCATCGGACCATCTGCTCATTGTCATCTCGATGGATAAACTTCTAACTTTAGCAAAGCTGATTGAAACGGATTCGAGGAAGTTACTGAAAGCACCTTCTCAGCCGCTCCCACACCAACATATGTTCTCGAAGGTGAGCGTAAGTTCCATAGGGTTCCCACTTCCACTGGATCCCGCTTCCTTCCCGGTGGATGCATATCAGACACCCGTCCGAACATTCCCGCTGAAGTGACCAGCCTGGTCGATGAGCGTGGCAACCTTCGTCAGGCCGACCCCGGAAATCCCCACATTAGAGATCTCAACACGCAGATTCGGCAACTTGTGAACGTTCGCGGAAAAATTGGGAGTAGCATCTGAAGACTGCCAGCTTCACCTCCGGTGTGAGTAAATTTTGGTCATGAGTGCTAAGAAATTGAAGTGCTATTAGACAGGATTGGCGGCGGAAAATTAAATCAGAAAATTAGGCGGATAACGTCTCAGAATTTCAAGAAGCTTTAAGCTCAGCTTGAGAGGAGTCAGCCACTGTATATGGAGGCTGGGTTGGACTAGATTCAGTACCACTAATTTTCCTTCAAGAAAGGACTAGACGGGACGTATAGGTTGTCTTCTCTCGCTCCCGACACTTAATGGAAACTTAACTGTTGATGGTTCGATAGGAATCAATGCTGCAGGCCTGAACATCACCGTAGCAGCTTTATGAACAGAACAACTGCTCCTCGCTTGTACAGCTTAGGTGAGCTTAAAGTTTAAACATTTTCGGTTCCGGAAACAGATATTAGCCGCCCGTCAAGTCCTAAAGCTAACCTCAGCGTTTGACCTATCAATTTCAACATCAAGTCCTTGCCTTGGTGAGGCATTCCTGATTTCAGTGTTACGCCAAAAAGTTGCTTAAGTATATTTCGAGATGTTTCAGTTTGGCAACTACTGGTTGGTTTATACAAAAAAGAAACTGATTAATATAAAATAAAGATCCAACTAAGCGTTTTTTTCACACTGAGCTGCAACTAATAGAAACCAAAAAAAAAATCTGTAGTCTCTGCAAATTGTATATACATAGTTATGCATGCACTTATGTATATACATATGTTCCCTGATGAGCTGAAAAAATTAAGCTTTACGCATGAGGAAACACCAGCAAAGGCACTGTTGAATTTTCCGCTACCAAATTTTTACAAAAGCTATCAAAGACGACAAGACACGCAAGTAACTCAGCACAAAACAATCTAAGAAAGAAATTTTTCAAATTCGTTTCGGGGGAAGCCGTGAACAAACAAAAAGCAGCGGAACAAGCCTACCTGGCTCCTTACGAAAATGCCAAACACCGTATACATATACGAACATACATACACTGCCGGCAAAAAGTATTGGCACAGCGAATTGTGCACAATATTTATATGAACAAATTTCTATTTTAATATTTTTCCTTTAACTTTTTATAAAAATATGGTTCATTCTACAACAAAAACCACAAAAATCTAATCTGCATACTCCAAAATTCTAAAAGATCTGATTAAAAAGTTGAAAATTTGCATGAAAATTCGCTGATTTTCGCAAGTTTTGCACAAAGTTCAAAATTTTTTTATGAAATTAGAAATTTTTATCTTTTTTCTTGTGGAATGAACCATATTTTTATAGAAAATTGTCGGAAAAAATTTTTTAATATATTGAAGAAAAGCAGCTGTGCCCATACTTTTTGCCGGCAGTGTATATATATTTATTTATCAATATCTGTTTTCATTTCTTTATTCCGTTGTAAAACTGTAGCTTTTTCCTTTTCATTTTTTTTGTTAAACTTTAAGCGGGTAGTTAATAATTTCACGCCAAGCGGCAGCGGGCGATCCCAAACCAACGAACCGCAGCCACTTGCGTGGCCATTGGCAGCCAGCTTCACACCTTGGCGGTTCGCTGCAGCGCTAATCTGCGCGGCTATCTCTTGAAGAGATACGAGTACTACCAGTACAAACAAGCAATCTGTCGGACAGTTAGTAATAGCCGTGGAAGTCACCATAAGCTGGCGTATAGAGTTTCATTGCTTGACCGCATTTTGCTGCCGGCTGGTGCCGCAGTAAGGCCGCGCAATTGCCTTTTGATACGCTCGATTTGCTGTAAATCCAAAAAAAAAGAAGGTGTGTGTGTAGGCGGTGCGTAGTCAGCGGTAAAAAATAAATTTACATTTTTCTTCGTTTTAGTCGAAATATTTTTTTGTTGACTTTTCGGGGAAGCGAAGACCGCTTAATATTTTGTCGTTTAAGGAAATGCCAAGTTTGAGTAATGTCCAACTAAACCACAAGCTGAGCGAACGGTTTGTGCGGGAGTGTGAGTGGGGAACGAACGAAGAAGCAACTATAATTTGTTATGCCACTTTTAATTCATTCGTACGTTGATATGTTTGTAGTTTAGAGCTGATTACTATGAAGAAACTGTTATGAGGAATGACTATTTCTGCGATAACAGAGATGAATATTCAAAAGTCAGAATTTATGTACATACATATATATGTACAACGTGTTCTCAAGAAAATAATTCAATACTCGCATTTCAACCTTGAAGGACGTTGTCATTTCGAGCTCTACCGGGACTGATAAGCACAAAGATTACTTAAATATGTATTCCTGTTGATTTTAATTATTTTTTTTAGCTTATAATTTTTTACATCTGAAAAAGATTTCTGTACCTTACTTGCATGTCATTAAAATTTTCTAAATTCTTGGTTCGTTCTTGGGTGTAACAGCAAAGAGGACCGCGACCTGGAAGGTATTTTTTGTCTCTTAAAAGAGATGCCCTATCCTATAAGGGCCTTGGTAGGTGATTTCTTATAACATTGAAACTTTGAAGTGGATCAATCTTTGTTTGGCCAGATTCGGACAATCGGTTGTGACCAGTCAGGTACCAACAAAATAATATCCCTTTTGTTGAAAGGGTAAC